CTAAACAAAATAAAATACAATTGCAATTAAAAATTTTTATATGATATTTGTTGTTATAATCGTTACACAAATTTTTAATAAATTAGTATTTGTTTTAAACATTTTGATAACTCTCTCAGAATTCATATGAGATTTAACTCATATTGTGTTTAAATTTAATTTAAATAATAAATATATGAAATATTTTATCATTTTATTCATATTGAATAAAACATAACAATATTTACCACACTATGTATATGTTAAACAAAAGCAAACTTTTCCTCAATTTATATCATGATTCATGAATAGTGTATAACAGGCTAAGCATTGAATATAAACGGCATTTGAATTGATTTCAAATGTCGTCCGATTAACTGATTGTCACTTATTATGAGTATTGATTAAATTACATGAAACCGCATAAATACAGTATAATTGACCACAAAATTCACGATTGCTTTTATACACATAACACAACTCATACAGTGAATAGATTCTCAACCAAAACGCTATGCGGTTTATAACACCACAGGTTATGCACCAAAATCTGCACCAAAACAAGAATATTCTCTATTCGCCACACATCGGAGGGTTTACATAACCTAATCGTCAAATACATTATTAATCTCATTTCCATTAAACAAATTATAAATAAATAAATACCCAATAAATTGAATTCAAGTAATGTGCTTATGACCAAAAATACCGCATACGTTATCAATAAGGCATATCCTATTTAAATAAACATAATGCAATCAATTTTACATGCCAATTACATTTTACTAAAATCAATTTTATGAGCAAATGTATACCTAATTGAGGATTTAATGTCCAATGATTGCGATGAAAGAAGTATATTGTTATGAGAAGAGATAGAAACAGAAGAATTATGGCGTAAATAAGTCCACGACTGTTGATGTTAGCGATCGAGCCTTTTATAAAGAGAAGTCATAATCATTAGAAAATCAAATCGTATGGAGTAATAATATAGGATGAGTACCAGGGTGAACAATCGCTGTCTCCACAAACCATGGAAGGGCTAGACCTATGAGAATGTCAAATACATTGCTGCCAATCGAGTTACTAACAGCCATATCCGCGTGACCCTAATTGTGCGAATGTAATCTAATTAAACCTAAAGTCATAGCATTGCAAATAATGACCAACCATTTTGGCCACATGAAGACTAGAATAAGCGTCGGGAACCTATCAAATAAATTAAGTTAAAAAAAAGTTAACATCAAAAATATTGCTATTATAACAAATATTTGATTACCGAAGTTCCGGCCGCCAGGAAAGTAATACCCATTATGCTGTCCGGTATACCGAGTGTAAAGCCAATTAAACTGACCTTTAATTTAAAAATTATATAAATATAACACTAAATAAGTAGACAAGTATTGGACTACTCTTGACATACCATCCAAACCATTACATAAGAGAAAACTGCGGTCCAAGTGATGCTCATGAAAAAAGTCACCAGAAATAGATTTTGTTTGACTTTACAGTCAGGAATCGTATAGAATAGGATGGCGTGAAGAGGAGCTCTTGCGCCCCATTTGCAACATCCATACCATCCGTCGACATCTAAATTCATATTAGATTTATTTAAATATTAGTATTTTAACTATTTGTCAATTATTGCTCACTTGGATCGGGAATTCGTCTCCAGAAGTGTTGGTCGGCTACAAGCGATGGCTTTCGCGCCGAATCAAAAGATTTGGCAAAATTGAGTTCTTCTTGTTGTGGATACTGTTGTGGCTGTAAATGCTGTTGGTTTTGATATTTGGCTTCATTTTTACGACAAAGCAAAACCAATAAATATAGTGGAAATTATTTAAATAATTGATTTAATCATTTAATTATACCTTTTTGTCTCTGAATTATGATAAGGTGTGCCGCAGCACGAAATCTATTGACAAAAATTGATTATTATTTTTTATGTGAATGGGAAATGTCTCAAAAGATCTTTATTTAATGACTATAAACCTGGAAATGGGTCGAAACAGTCGTTTGTGTTTAATTATGACAAGATTGGCCGCTTCATAAAGGGTGGTTTGGGGCCGATTATAGCCATCCATCCTCTGTCCATATCCCGTGTCATTTCCTCCAACTATTCATAAAAACAACACATTTTAATATAAACTTAAATATTTTATTCTTTGAAAATAATATTAAGAAATTTTCCAGATTTAGCATTTAATCGTCATTTTATCAATATAAATTTTAGTGCTTTATGCAAATTGTCACTTCATGTAAAAGTTTCATGTAAAAATTGCAAATCACATACAATAAACAATATGATCCATGTACTATATTACAAATGGATTAGTTTTGTGTGTTTTAATATAGCATTTATTATTTTAATAACTTAACAAAATGCGATGAAATGCCGAGAATAGAAAAACCAAAGTGCTTTTGATTTAATGAGACTTTTATTATAAACTACTGTATTCTCTAAGGAGTTGAAAGTAATTTTCATATTAAAAGCATGTTTTTGCATATCATTTGTTTTTGACGTAAATGTAGAAAAATTCTGGATTCTCTATAAAAATATTAATATTTGTTTGTGTTTTGAATAAAAAACAAAACTTATATGAAATTATTTCATAACTTATGTATAATTTATTTCAACGCAAATACAGATAAATAAATGGTAAAAACCTTTAAAGGAGTGGTACTGAACGACACCAGAATTGGCTTTTAAATTCTCAAACTCATCGCCGCTCTGTCGGAGACCCAATTGAATCCATTGCCGCTGAACGTAGTCTCTGAGCTCAACGTTAAAGTTCATGATTAAAATGTAAACCCCGTAAAGACATAACATTGTGAACGATTCATATCTTGATACTTCTCCGTCGTATATGAACTATATTTTAAAACAATTTCGTTAAATACAAAAGTGAACGACAATTAATTTCCATGAGATGTCTGACCAAAATTAGGACGAGAACAGTAAATGTATAGTAAGACGAGTCTCTGGCCACTGGCCACCAGTTTAATTCAGTGGACGCTAAATACAGTTTTTTAGTTAACAAAAGTAATTAAAATAAATGACAAAATATTTACCAGTATATAGAGAGCAAAGTCCGATTACAAATAGTATATTGAAAACGGCTGATCCAACTATAGTGCCGGTGCCGACATCGCCTTTGGCTATGAATACACCCAATATTGCGGTAAACAATTCGGGAGCACTGGAACCGGCGGCCATGAATGTGGCACCTGTTTTGTGGCATTCAATTCAAGCAATTAAAAAAGGTTTTCATCATAATATATTAAACAAAGTGAAGTGATATGAGTACAGACCCGCCACGTCTTCCGATAAGTTAAGGCGCTGTAAGAGTAACACAAATAATTGAATATTGAATTACATGAAAGGAAATGATGTGAATAAAAGTGGCAGTACTTGACAGCACTCCTCAAGTGATGGCAAAAAATAGAGATCACAAACGATTGCCAAACAGTAGAACATATAGAGGACGACAGCGATGTGGATGATTATGGCTCCTCGAGATCGAGATCTCTGGCTAAACATATCGCTCGGGAATTCATTGATTGCGGGGTTAGTACATGTGCTAAGGTTTGCCTTAATTAAATTGATTAAAGGTTTCTTCGTTGTCATCTGATTGTGAGGTCTGACAATGATTTAATAAAAACAATTGATTATACAAAACACTTAATCCCTTAATGAATATATTATTGAATTACATGTGTTTCGTTTCTTTCTTCGTCGGCCGCTCTTTGATTGTCGTTTCAATAGTTTCGTCATTTTGAAGATTGTTTGTTGGATTGATTGGCGATTCATTACTTTGATGGTCATTTAGTTTGCGATTGTTATAGTGATTATCATTAGTCTCTGATTCAAGTTCTTCAATTGAATTGTGTTGTTGTGATTGCCCTAAAATATAGTTAATTATTTAAATAATATAACCATTAATGATATTATAAGTAATTTAAGGCAAGAATTGTGCGAATTCGTGATCAAAATGTTTAAATTCAAAATCAATAAGATATTAATCATTTCGTTATAAATAATGTTTTCATAAAATGTATGATATGTTAATATACTATAGTTTGAATAAAAAATATTTTAATTAAAAACTTTTGACAAAGTTAAATGTTAATTTATAATAGGAGATTTATACCATAATCTTTATTAGTGTTAACAAACATATGACAACATTAATAAGCAAGTGATGGATAACTAACTCAAAATATTTTATGCAATTGTTTTACAGAATATTTTACAGAATATTTAATAAATTAAATTAGAGCTTATTTGGGACCAAAATAACACTCATATTATAATTAAAATTTTGCTTTATATTCAAACTCGAATGACATTTGAATGACTGAAAGCATAAATACTATATAATATTTATTGAATAAATGATTAATAAATCTTGCTATACATTAACATAATACAGTACAATACATGTATGGCTATACTGTACTGTATATGATATACCCATTAAAACCACTAATGGATTATACGCTACAACACAGAAATAAACTGATAAATGTGTTATAAGAGGAATGAATACTTTGCCTCATGAGTTGTATTAAGTATTTCAATAATTAATTTACTGTTCATTGGTTTTATTAGCAAATATTATTCAGTATTTATTAATAGCTTAGGAATTATACGATTTCTTGGGATTTAATAAAAATATTAATATTAATATCAGGAGTTT